CGCTGGACCACAACAGCTGTGATTAGAATGGTGGCACAACTGAGTTTTATCATCTTAGGTTGCGAGAAAATAGATAAAAAGAGAAGAGTTGCGGTGAAGTAATGAATAAAAAGGCTGTGGTCAAGTAAATAAATAAATTTAAAAAGTGTGACTGCTGAGAGCAACAGATTCTGGAGCTAGGGACACCGGCCCTTGCGGCCAAAAAACGGACCGGCCCACCGGGAATTCTCCAGGTCCTCCCGATTAGCCAATTCGGGCCTGTTGTCATATTTCTTTTGCATTGTTTGCTGATTTTATTCAACAAAACTAGCATAAGCCGAGTGTTTAGTGTGAGTTGGTGCTGCTTTGCCTTATGGTGAATGCAGTAGTGACTGTACTATCATCAATAACGTTACCTGTTTAGCACAAAAGTTCATAACATATGAAAACGTAAGAAAACTAAATCTTACCTATGAAATGTTTTGCCCTTGTGCTTTGTTTTCTTTGTTTGCCTGTTGCTACACCCGTAGACAGTCCAGCATCTTCACGTAGTAACACTGTCTTGACTAGAGCTTGACTTGTCCTGGGAGCACTGTACAAATATGGCGGCTCTATTGGTGTATGCTCAGGGTCCATATGCGATATCTAGTGTATATATCTATGGTTATCTGCTAGTTTCAGTCAGTGTTAAAGTACTACTGAAAAACAAAAACTCACCATTTTGGATGAATATCTGAACAGCAAATGTTAATTTTTGGTAAACAACTGTGTAACTAAAGTCACAGTTCAGCCAAATACATAATTTCATCACCTTTATGTCGTTCCAGCGCAGTATGACCTTCTAAAAACACAAAAGAAAATGTTTTAACCGATGTTTGGGTTCGAAGAACACCTTCAAATGTGTTAAGCTGTAATGCACTGAGGTTTGAAACCATATGAGGGTGAGTATGTTTATATGTGAACTCTGATGTGCATCGGTCAGTACTTTAAACTGCTCTTCCAGACCACGATGTACACTATGAAGGGGATGAGGGCAATGGGCAGCAGTGTGGCGACGAGGACAACTCCGGGCGGAGCGTCAGATAAATCCTCTTCATTATTACAGGAGCTGAAGTACTGCTGGTGGATCCCCATGAACAGATGCTCCACCACATGGTTTGGGTAAAAGCAGCCTGCAATGCCGGATGCTGCGTCCATACATTCGGTTAAATCGCTGTAGCTCCTGGACAGAAAGAAACAGGTTTGATCAGACATCATTGGTTGCATAATGTAGAGTGTGAAATAATTTTGGACGACTAAATCAAAAGTAGTGTTGAAGATTTTCATAAAATTGTGAGGACTTTTAAATGTGCCAATTAAAAAAAAAGACTAGGACTGTTTCTCAATATGCGTTCTTCAGCGGTCTTGCGTCCTCGTGTTCTCGTGCAACGTCATCATCAGCTGCCTAAGTTCAGTTCCAATACTCAAGACCGCAAGTACGGAGGACGCGTGAAACTTCCCGGATGTAATCTTGATATCGAAGACGCACTGATGCAGACTTGAGCACCGAACTCGCTCTGGAAGTCCCAGAAGTCATTGCGACTGAAGGTGGGAAGCGCTGCATTTTATCTAGATTTATTATTAAAGCATAGATATGAATTATTTACCTCAGGAGTTTTCCTAAATGAAACGGTGAAAGTAACCATTAACATGAACATCTTAATAAAGGAATAAACAAATTAAGGGTGTTTGTTTGCTGAAATTCGTATTAAAATTAGTTTTATTTATATTGTGCAGAGTATATTTATAATGTTTTTATGCAAAGTATATATTTTGGAGAGAAGGGAAAACAATAAATCGTTGTATAGACCTTTTTCATGGCTGCTGCATGGAGGGCGCCATAGCGACAGCGTCTTCCGGTAGAATGCGAAAAACTTCCGTAGAAAAAGAGAAACTCCATGATGGAGTTATCAAGACATTCAGAAAGAAGAAATAAATTGTGTGAGGCTGATAACTGCAGCCAGAAGAGAGAATAACGTTAAATTTACTGTCCTGCTCCATAGACGCTGCATTACAAACGTTTTTTGTCATTTGATGCAAAGATGACGTAATACATACGTAAATACACATACATGTACATACCTGTAAGTTTTTTTGAAATTTAAATATTCAAAACTTTCAAGCATTTAAGTTTATGATGACCTTTAAACGTGTCATAAAAGTCTTGTGAAAAGGGTCGATATAGATGATGGGAAAATTATTAGCCCTGCTGTGAAATGTAACTTTTGTCAAATATTGGTGTTGTTTAACAGAGAAAAACAAACACATTTTTAAACATATTATTAATGACCAATTTCTAATAACAGTACACTAATAACGTGATGACAGTACATACTGTTTTACTAGACTTTAAAGTGCAGTTTAAGTCTTAACTAGGTTAATAAAGCAGGTCATTGGACAACAGTGGTTTAGCCAATCAAATATATATAGACGTACATGCGGTGCTCAGCATATATGAGTACACCCCATTTTGAAAATGAATATTTTTATCCATTTCTCTGTGAATATGAGTAATATATTGTGTATTTGAACAAAACTGATTTATTAAAATAATATTTTAGTCACAGAACATCTTTAGAAATGAAAAGATAATATTTTTAAATTCAAGCAAAATATTGAAAACAAATAACAAACTAAAACATTTCAATTTTTTTTTTATTATTTTTTGTTTCTCTTGTTTTTTGTTCTTTCAATTTTTTATATTTGATTTAATATTTTTTCCTAACATATACATTTGGACTAGTAATTTTTGAACCATTATTGTAAGTTATTTTGTTAGATTAGCTGCAGATTTGGCTTCAGTACTGACTAATCTAATGTTTATGCACAAATATAATATTGTAAAACGTAACGTTGACTTGAAATTTTCCCCGGATGTTGGTAACAACTAAAGAAATCCATATATGTAAAGATATCAAAATTTTATTAGTTTACAAATTAGGTTATGTGCAATAATATGAAATGACACAGAGAAAGAGTAATTTTTCAAAAGTAATAATATAATTTAATAATTAATTTAATTTTATAACCTTGAAATGCTTTTAAGAAAAAATAAAAACTGATTTTGTTCTAGCCGAAATAAAACAAATACGACTTTCTTCAGAAGAAAAAAATAATCAGGCATACTGTGAAAAATACTTTGCTCTGTTAAACATCGTTTGGGAAATATTTGAAAAAGAAAAAAAATTATAAAAAAAAATCACAGGAGGGCGAATAATTTTAAATTTTCCCAATATTTATCTATTTACAGCGTTCCTGATCAAATAAATACATTTTTGAGCTCTAAACATCTAAACAATAGTCTACATTACACTTTTGCTCTAAATAAAAGTCGTGCTACCATTTTTAGGGAATTTTTTTTCAAGTGAGTTGTTTGACAGAAAACCCAAATCTCTCTGATTTACAACAACAACATCAGCAGCAGCAGAACGCTCTTATCTGTTGTTGTGTGGAGAGCGGAAATGTCTCTCATTGTTTAATAGAGCAGGAGGTCTCTCAGGCCCTCGAGTAGCCTCAAGAATATCTCTCCTCTTTCACACACATCCTTCAATTGTTTCTCTGCTCATTTCCTTTCTTTGTGCGTTTACCTTGCAGCTTAAACGCATTTTTGAGCAGCACTTCTGCATATGATGAGTAATGCAGAGAAACTGAACTTTAAATGGCATGCAATTCAACAAAGGCAAATAGAAAAATCTAAAAGTAAAATAAACAACGTGTCAAAGTGTACATTTTCATAAATCATTAAAAAATGATCAACTAGTTAGATTATCAGTTATCTGACTGCTGAGATAATGAAGGGAAACTATTCAAAGAAATAAATAAAAACAAAAACGTTTATGAATATCAATACAGAACAGCATAATCAGAAATTACTGCAAAAAAAGATGCCTAATAAAAAAGGTTATTACTGAAACTAAAACAAAAACCATGCATCTAAAAATCATTTTTTACTTGTAACAAATGTAATAAATGTATATTTTTTTGCTATGCTTAAATATTTATAATTTCCATTAAGCTGTAAATGCAGTAAAATTAACAAAATGATAATAAAATTATTTTAAAATGTTAAAAAACTGAATTACAATTGTACAATACGTACAAAAAATGACAGAAAAGTGTGTGGTGTTAGAATATTTATCTCTAAAAACATTAGATTTATAGATAACATTTTAAATTGCTAGGTAAAAACCCAAACAATTTAAACATAAAAATAAAACAAAACAAACAAAAAAAAAATCTAAAAAATGAGTTGTGTGTAATAACAATAAACTGACACTAGGAGAAATCCTGAACTACTGAAATGTATTTAATACTTTCTATAAAGCTTTTTTTTTTTTTGGTGCTGGCAGCTTAAAGACGCATCTTATAAGGAGAATGAAGTCACATTCATTGCTCAGCTGTGAGGTTTTCACAGACTTCAACAGAGTGTAAAAATCTTGATGGTTCTGTGGGTCTCGTCTATCAAATTTGATCTTTAATTTGTATATTCTATTGGATTTGCATCAGGTGATTGACTGGGCCATTCTACGGCTTAATTTTCTTTCTCTGAACGCATTTGAGAGTTTTCTTTGGCTGTGTTTTGGATCATTGTCTTGCTGAAATGTCCTGCCTGTTTTCATCTTCATCCTCCTGATAATTTAGATGTTGGACTGAAGCAGCTGAAATTCATTTGCAATAAGGAAGGGCAGAAGGTTGCTGAAGAACTACTGAGAGATTTCAGCTGCTCTCTGGGCTTTTACTGCCTTTCCAACTTCCCTTTCTTCATGAGTTCAATGCTTTTTTATGTGTCATTTCATTTTTATTATGCATAACTTACGCATAACTAATTGTAAAGTAATTAGATTAGTTTCCTTTGCATATATGGATTTGTTTGGTTGCTTTTCGGTAAAAATTTCAAGTCAACTGCACCTTCAGACACCTTTGTTTTCTGAGAAAAATTGTGACGTGTTCAATTCTAATATATATATATATATATATATATATATATATATATATATATATATATATATATATGTGTGTGTGTGTGTGTGTGTGTGTGTGTGTGTGTGTGTGTGTGTGTGTGTGTGTGTGTGTGTGTGTGTGTGTGTGTGTTTGTGTTTTTTTTTATATTTCTTAAATAATGTTAAACAGAGCAAGTCATTTTTATAGTTTGATAACATTTTAACATCAACATTTTATGTCTGATAAAATTTTTTCTTCTGGAGAAAGTCTTATTTGTTTTATTTCAGCTAATAATCCTGACTTCAACTGTATACACACACACACACACACACACACACACACATATATAGTGTGACAAGCATCCCATGAAGCTATCAGCATCGTCCTGGAGAGGAACGAGGAACACCTGGGCCCTCTCATTCCCAACTAATCAGCACCAGCTGCAACTCATCCAAGACCGGCTACATAAGCCTCACCAAAAGAACCAGAAAGGGGGAAGCATACGAAGGAAACAGAGCAGTAACACTTATTCTCCCTTTCTTTCCTCTAGACAGCAGTTGGTGACCGATCGGGTTCCTAGACCCATCTCACAGACACTGAGCACCCCACGGATGAAAGAACATCACCCGCTGGAGCACCCCTTTGGATCTTGCACTCATGCACCTTTGTAAATAAATCCACCCTCTGGGATCTAAACTTTAATTCTTTTGTCGTGTGATTCTTCAGCCCATCACACTGGTGGAGAATGCGGGCAGAAGAGTGAAGAATCACCGACACCCAGACTCCCACTCATCTATTTAAAAAAAAAAAAAAAAAAAAAAAAAAAAAAAAAACTTTTATTTATTTTTTTTTTTTTCTCTTCCTTTTGTGTGCAGGCGAGCGCTCACTCCCCCTACAGGATGGATGAACTTCTCCAGCGACTCACCGAGGTCAGCATCCGCCAGCAGCAAGTGGCCGAGCATCTGGCAGCTCGTCAGGACCAGACAGAGCAAGAACTTTTTGCCCTGCGTCTGGCTGCTGCACAACGTGTTCCGCTACCAGACCCTCGTGCCCGAGCCACTCAACTCCTTCCAAAGCTAACCCCTCACAATGATATTGAATCTTATTTACAAATGTTTGAAACCACTGCTACGAATGAAGGGTGGAATGTCGACGACTGGCCGCAGGTCCTGGCTCCCCTGCTGACTGGTGACGCCCAGCGCACCTACTTTTCTCTCCCCGATGGTGCAGCTACCACTTACCAGGACCTGAAACGGGAAATCCTGGCCCATATGGGACTGTCATCCACATGTGCAGCTCAACAGTTTTTTGAGTGGACATATAAGCCCCATCTGCCGGTCCGTGCCCAAGCAGCGGGTCTCACACGACTTGCGAGACATTGGCTCTTGGCGGAAGACCCAACGCCGAGTCAGGTAGCGGAACGGGTGGTCATCGACAAATTGCTCCGGGCTCTTCCCCGATCCCATCGACGAGTAGTCGGAATGAGAAACCCCTCAACCACCCTGGAGCTCATTGAGGCGATTGAACTGGCGGATGCGACCCTACATCGGGAAGGAGGGGAGAGAGCGCCGCCTTTTCCCCGGAGGGTGGTCCAGGAGCGACGAGCGCCAGAGGACCCTCAACGACCGGTGAGCAGGCCGACGATTCCCTCTCCACGGGAGGAGCCCATGCCAACAGAGGTTTCAACACCCCCCTCACGGACCTGGCTGGCAGGCTGCATTGTACACAGAGACCTACCCGAAGGAGCCCCAGAAGCGGATGTCAAGGTCAACGGAAAACCATACCGGGCCCTACTCGACTCTGGTAGTGCGGTTAGTCTGGTACACGCACGGATTTTGGCCCCACGGACTGGGTCAAAGACCTTCCTGCCTATCACCTGTGTCCACGGGGACACCCGTCAGGTCCCTGCCCGTCATGTAACCATTTCAGCCGGCCCTGATACCTGGCCAGTCGAGGTGGGAGTGGTGAGAGATCTACCAGTTCCTGTGCTCCTTGGGAGAGACTGGCCAGGTTTAGAGCGCCTGTTAGCCGCAGCTTCCCAACCTGCCAGCCCCAGAGGGAGCCGTCACCGTAAAAAGCCCAACCGAAGACCTCGTCAGCGACCCGTCCTTCTGGCATCAGACAGCGGGAGAGATGGTGAGTCCCCCTCTCATAATACTAACCTGTTTTATGATGTCTTTCAACAGGTCACAGGAGGGGGCTCATTTGCTAAGGAACAACAGGGAGACGATAGGTTGAAACATTGCTGGACCCAAGTCCGAGTCATAGAGGGAAAAGACAGTCAGCCTGGTCCCCACCCTCTCCCATACTTTGCTGTCCAGAATGGCCTGCTTTACTGGGTCGCACAGCGGAGGGGGGAGGAAAAACTACTGCTGGTCGTACCCCGATCCAAGACTGAAGCAATACTGGAACTGGCCCACTCCCATCCCATGGCAGGACACCTTGGGGTGGCCAATACAGTCCAGCGGATACGGGACCGTTTCCACTGGCCAGGACTGGAGGCAGATGTAAAGCGGTTCTGCCAGGCCTGCCCCACCTGCCAACGAACCTCACCAAGGACACCTCCCCCGAGTCCTCTAATTCCATTACCAATTATTGAGGTGCCCTTCGAGCGCATTGGGATGGACCTGGTTGGGCCATTGCCTAAATCTGCCCGGGGACATGAGCACATCCTGGTGATTGTTGACTATGCTACCCGTTACCCAGAGGCGGTGCCCCTTCGGAAAGCCACCGCCAAAGCCATCGCCCAGGAGCTCTTCTTGCTCTCTAGTCGAGTTGGCATCCCCGCAGAGATCCTGACCGATCAGGGTACCCCCTTTATGTCCCGGCTAATGGCTGACCTCTGCAGGCTGCTGAAGGTGAAGCAGTTGAGGACCACTGTCTATCACCCCCAGACAGATGGCTTGGTTGAACGCTTTAACCAAACACTAAAGCAAATGCTAAGACGGGTCGCCGCGGAGGACAAGCGTGACTGGGACCTTATGCTGCCCTACATTCTCTTCGGGATCCGGGAAGTTCCCCAGGCCTCAACTGGCTTCACCCCCTTTGAGCTCCTCTTCGGACGACAACCCCGTGGCCTCCTGGATGTGGCAAAGGAGGCCTGGGAGCAGCAGCCGGCGGCCCATCGGTCTGTGGTGGAACACGTCAAGCAGATGAGGGAAAAAATCGACCGTGTCATGCCGTTAGTCCGGGAGCATCTGATTACAGCACAAAAGGCCCAACAACGCCACTACAACAGAGCAGCACAAGCACGGGAATTCCAACCAGGAGATCGGGTCATGGTCCTAATTCCAAATGCAGCTTGTAAGTTCCTGGCCACATGGCAGGGCCCCTACACGGTATTGGAAAAAATTGGACCAGTGACCTACCGGGTGCAACAACAAGGAAAACGAAAGGCAGATCAGTTGTACCACATTAACCTTCTAAAGAAATGGATTGGAACTAGGGTCCAACTCGCTGCCCTCGCCACTTCTGAACCCGTGGTTGTTGACATCAACCCCCATCTCTCGGCTGCTCAAAAGGGGGATCTGCGGCACCTGATCGGTCAGTTCCCAGATGTGTTCTCTTATCTCCCCGGGCAAACCAGCCTTCTCCAACATGATATACGAACACCGCCAGGAGTCATCATACGGCAGCGGCCCTATCGGGTCCCTGAGGCTCGTCGGCAGGCTATAGAAGAGGAGATAAAACAAATGCTAAAATTAGGGGTGATAGAACCCTCATCAAGTCCATGGTCCAGCCCAATCGTGATGGTCCCCAAACCTGATGGCACCCTCCGGTTCTGCAATGACTTTCGTCGGCTTAATGAAGTCTCAGAATTTGACAGCTACCCCATGCCTCGTGTGGATGAGCTGTTGGACCGCCTGGGAAGGGCCCGGTACATCTCTACCATAGACCTAACCAAAGGCTACTGGCAAGTACCACTGTCTGAGAATGCCAAACCTAAAACTGCCTTTTCCACCCCCAGTGGTCATTGGCAGTACCGGACCCTTCCCTTTGGCCTGCACGGGGCCCCTGCCACATTTCAACGTATGATGGATATCATACTCCGGCCCCACCACGCATATGCCGCAGCATACTTAGACGACATTGTGATCCACTCGGAGACATGGGAGGATCATCTGGACCGTCTACGGAGGGTGCTGTCTGAACTCCGGAGGGCTGGACTCACGGCCAACCCTCATAAGTGCCATCTTGCTCTCTCTGAAGCGAAGTACCTGGGTTTCCAAGTGGGAAGAGGACTCATCCAACCCCAAGAAAAAAAGGTTGAAGCTGTCCGCATTGCTCCCAGGCCGGTGTCCAAAATCCAGGTACGAGCATTCTTAGGGTTGGCAGGGTACTATCGCTGTTTTATCCCTAATTTCTCCTCTTTAGCCGCCCCTCTGACAGATCTGACCAGGAAGGGGAAACCAGAGAAGGTAAACTGGACGCCGGCAGCCGAGGAAGCCTTCAGGAGCATAAAGACAGCACTGACCTCAGAACCAGTACTTCGAGCTCCTGATTTTGGCTGTCCCTTCCTGCTGCAGACGGATGCCTCTGACACAGGACTAGGAGCTGTTCTGTCACAGGTTCAGGAAGGGGAAGAGCATCCGATCCTATACATCAGCAGAAAGCTGACCCCAGCCGAGAGAAAATACGCCGCCGTAGAAAAAGAAGCCCTTGCCATCAAGTGGGCAGTCCTGGAGCTGCGGTACTACCTCCTTGGCCGCCAGTTCACCCTGGTTACCGATCATGCACCTCTGCAGTGGATGGCCAGGGCAAAGGACACAAATGCCAGGGTGACAAGATGGTTCCTCGCGCTCCAGGACTTCCACTTCAATGTGCGTCACCGGGCCGGGACTGCCAACGCCAACGCTGATGGACTCTCTCGGATCTGGGCGGCTTTTGCAGGTCTGTCAGGGGTCACTCCCCACCCACCCCTTAATTCTCCCCTATTGTCTCATATCATCCACAGGACCAGGACGCCACTTAGGGGGGGGGAGTGTGACAAGCATCCCATGAAGCTATCAGCATCGTCCTGGAGAGGAACGAGGAACACCTGGGCCCTCTCATTCCCAACTAATCAGCACCAGCTGCAACTCATCCAAGACCGGCTACATAAGCCTCACCAAAAGAACCAGAAAGGGGGAAGCATACGAAGGAAACAGAGCAGTAACACTTATTCTCCCTTTCTTTCCTCTAGACAGCAGTTGGTGACCGATCGGGTTCCTAGACCCATCTCACAGACACTGAGCACCCCACGGATGAAAGAACATCACCCGCTGGAGCACCCCTTTGGATCTTGCACTCATGCACCTTTGTAAATAAATCCACCCTCTGGGATCTAAACTTTAATTCTTTTGTCGTGTGATTCTTCAGCCCATCACAATATACACACACACACACGCACGCACCCACGCACGCGCACACACACACACACACACACACACACACACACACACACACACACACACACACACACACACACACACACAGTAGTCAACATTTGAAATGGTTCAGACCCTTTATTAAAGTAGTCCTAAAACTACCAAACAACACCCATTCTTGTCTAAGGACAATTTGGAAAATAACTACCATTTATGGCAAAATGTATGTATGAAAACGTAGTCATACCTCTGTGGTTATTTTGGTATAAGTAACTGATAAATAAATAAATAAATACATAAATACAAAAGTGGTGTACTGCATTACATTTCTGAGACAGTAATATTAAAATATAATCACAATAAAATTACAGTAACTAATATTATACAATGTATTACAATTTGGAAGAAAAATAAATTTAGCCATAGTGTTAGTATATCTATATATTTCATATGTAAACCCACAATAATGTATTAAAGCAGATTCAACCAACACAAGATGTCCTGACACCACAGGGCGATCTACAATCTAATTACTTCATCTTGTCATGACTGTTTTAAAAGTACTGCTTTAGCTAAATGTGTGAGTAAAACAAAAAGAAGCTCAGTCTTACCTTAAAACCACCTCCATAACACACCAGTTCTGCTCGTCGATAGTACTCATGTTGTCACTAAAAACCGCCCAGCAATAATCACCGTAAAACATCAGGACCTGCTCATCACAGCGGCGATATTGTAAATTCTGATCCTGAAAAGTCTCTGAGTCACAAGAGATTCATTCAATTACTGATACTGACAAATTATGAGTATCTTCTTATCACATGAACCATTTCAAAATGTGATGCTACAGTAAATCTTTTGTTTTTCATTCAGTAGATGCTTCTGTCCAAAGCAACGGACAATAGAGGAGGCATTCAGGGATTCAACACGAAGAGGCAATACACACAACAAGTGCTAATTATACAAAAAAACTGTTAGTGCCCAGAGAATAAAGTGCTAGAGTAAGGAGGGGAGAGTGTTTTTTTAGAGAGAGAATAGTGTTTCTACAGGTGGTTTGTCAAACCCACTCACCAGTGTGAGGCATACTTCCGAAATGCACTTTTTTGAGATATATGAAGTGATTGAAAGAAAGTAAGGGTGACACATTGGCTCAGTGGTTAGCACTGTCGCCTCACAGCATCCTGTTGGGTCAGTTGGCATTTCTCCCTGGAGTTTGCATGTTCTCCCCGTGTTGGCGTGGGTTTCCTCCGGGTGTTCCGGTTTCCCCCACAGTTCAAACACATGCATATAGTGGAATTTAATAAACTCCCAGTACTGGGTTGGGCTGGAAGGTCTGTGTAAAACACATGCTGGAATAGTTGGTGGTTCATTCCACTGTGGCAACCCCTGATAAATAAGGGACTAAGCCAAAGAAAAATGAATGAATGAATGAATGTAAGAAAGTGTCTGATGTAAATTTGTCAGAGAGATGACCAGAGAAAATTAAAAAAGGGTTTAGCTGAAAATTAAATAAAATAAAATACATAAACATAAGAAATTTATATTAATAATTGATGTTTTCGTTTATATTTTTAAGAATTTTATTAAAATAACATTTAATATGCTTAATAAAAAATGGGAAATTGTGGTCCTTGTCCTGACGATAAATCTGACCTTAACATTCATTAATTAATTAATTTTTCTTCGGCTTACTCCCTTATTTATCGGGGTCGCAATAGTGAAATGAACCGCCAACTATTGCAGCATATGTTTTATGCAGCGGATACCAGTGGCAACCCAGTACTGGGAAACACCCATACACTCTCACATTCACACACACACACACACACACACACACACACACACACACACACACACGCACACACACACACACACACTTATATACTATAGCCAATTTTTTCATTCATTCATTCATTCATTCAATTATTCATTCATTCATTTTCTTTTCCGCTTAGTCCCTTAATTATTATCTGGGGTTGCCACATTGTAATTAACCACCAACTTATCCAGCATTTGTTTTTACGCAGCAGATGCCCTTCCAGCCGCAACCCATTACTAGGAAACGCATATACAATCATTCACACACATACATACACTATGGACAACTTAGCTTACCCAATTCACCTGTACCGCATGTCTTTGGACTGCCGGGGAAACAGGAGCACCCAGAGGAAACCCACGCCAACACAGGGAGAACATGCACACTCCACAAAGAAATGCCAACTAGCTCAGCCGGGACTCAAACCAGTGACCTTCGTGCTGTGAGATACAAGTGCTAACCACTGAGCCACATTGTCGCCTGCCGATGACACATTTTCTGAATCAACTAGGACAACATTAAGCTAAAAATCTGCATTAAACACTATTAAAAAATGCTTTATTGCTCTTTTGTATACTCTACGCTTGTTATCGCTTTAATGCTCTACTGAAGAAACATACAGTGTCTTACAGGTTAGTCACTTTTAGATTGTAATACATTATAGATTGAATTCTTAGATATTTGTAATGAATAACAAATCCAAAACATTAAGATTCTGTTTTTGCAGTGTAAAGATCTCCAGCACACTATATTGAAGAAAAATAAATAATTATTTATTTACTGTTGCATTTTGCTATTCGTTCCACTGTACAATATGTATTCACCACTTTAGAAAAACACTTAATTTTTCCTGAAACTGGTTGTTGGTGTTGTAGCTCTTCATAAGTAAAGATTGATGCTTGTGATGTGGTTTCATGTCATCTAGATTACATCTTGAAAGTCAGAAACAGATGTTTTCGGATGTAGATAAAGCTAAACTGAAGACTGCAGATTTGCTGCACACTATACAGAGCGATAAAAAATATATGCTTTTACGTTGAAATTAAATGCCTTTTACACTGAGATGTCTTTCTTTTACACTAGAATGTCTTCCTTTTACCCTTTAAAAGTTCACACCCGTCCACTTTGAAATCATTTGCATTTATGTGTAGCGAATTATGTATGTTTGTCGGATTTATGTATATTTGCATGTGTGTTTTAGGGGTGTTTGTGCACGGATCGAGCTTATATACTAGTGCAACACTTTATAGGCGTATATGCATAGATCAAGCTTAAGTGAATCTATCGAAACTGAAGACTGAAGATTTGCAGCACACTATAAACAGCAATAAAGAAGAAACATATAAAAAATATAGAGATTTTTTTGTCGCATTTTTGCTAGTTGTCCCACTTTAACGATTTAAATTTAATTAGGTTTAATCTGTAACTTTTTCTTTCCTAAATTCAAAGTAGATTGTATTGTGTGATGCAGATAGTACAATTGTAGTTTTTGTTTAGCCACGTTATTATTATCTTTTTATTTGTTGGTATGGTTTATTTATTTAATTGTTTGTGTTTAAGCTGATACTGTGAATTCTTTTTAAAATTGAATTGTTTTTGTCTTTTTTTGCTGTAATTTGCCATAAAATTCATAAATAAAATGATTAAAAAGTTAAATCACAAGTGAAAAAATAATACACATTTTGAGTTCATATTGAGATCGTTCATTGACACAAAATTGATATCTAAATTACTATGAAATCTGCTATATTTACAGTACAATACGAAACTAAACTGAACTAAAAAAAATCCTATATATATTTTAGAAGAACACAAATGAAGTATTGGGGTGGCACGGTGGCTCAGGGGTTAGCACTGTCACCTCACAGTTTTGCAGTTGTTTTACGGGTTTATTAACGATAAGCTGGTTTGAAAGCATCGGTATTGTAGTAATATACATAGCAATGAATACTCATTTCTTCGCTTTCTCAGTCCTTCTACAGCAGGGGTGTCAAAACTCAGTCCTGGAGGGCCGGTGTGGTGCAAATTTTAGATCCAACCCCAATTAAACACACCTAATCTAACAGCAAATAAAGCTCTGTCTAGGTATACTAAAAACTTTCAAGCAGGTGTGTTGAAGGAAGTTGGAGCTAAACTACGCAGGACACCGGCCCTCCAGGACCGAGTTTGGACATCCCTGCTCTACAGTACTTGTATTTATTAAGGTTAGTAGAAATAACTGAGATCTTATATTTTAGTCTCTTACCTTCAAACACTGTTTTGTTATCCTGTGTTATTTGACCTGAGAATAGAAATAAAGCATTTAATAATAATCCCTGATATAAAACGACATTTGTTTTCATATCAGATCGATTCTGTTGCAAACCGGAAGGTCATTCGGTTCAATTACTTTGAGAGAAATGCATCAAAAAACTAAATTATGTATCACAAATTGAGGATTAATGAAGAGAAACTATCATCTTTGCCAGAAACTGAACATTAGTTACTACATTATTACTTTGTAGGTTTTGCATATTACATTATAACAAGGGTATATGTCACTCCAAAGTATGGGGCACCACATAGGATTTAAAGTTCACTCCTTTAAAAACTCTTGTTTTTTGCTGAAACTGGTTGTTGGTGTTGTAGGATAACATAATGAAGTTTGATGCTTGTGATGTGGTTTCATTTCATCTAGGTTACATCGTGAAAGTAAGACACAAAACACTTGCTTTTAAATGTAGATACAGCTAAACTGAAGACTGGAGATTCACAGCACACTATACAGAGTAATAAAGAAGAAACCTGAAAAAATATATGCTTTTACACTGAAATGCCTTCCTTTTACACTAAAATGCCTTCCTTTTACACTGAAATGCCATCCATTTGCATTGAAAAGCCATCCGTTTCCATTAAAAAGCGCATACGCATAGATCAAGTTTATATGTATATGTGAGTATATACAGGTGTATTTGCATGCAGCAAGTTTATATATACGTGTGTGTTATTGTGGGTATATCCGCAAGGAACAAGTTTGTACAGTACATTTAAGCGACTGTAGCTATATACACAAATGCTAGGTTCCACATTATTCCTTCGTGTTGCATCAACACAAATCGATTATGTTAACTTCATCGTTTTT